TACTAATCTCTTGTTTTGTTTTTGTTCCTTTGTTGTTGTTGTTGTTGTTTTTTTTTTTTCAGACTTGGTGTGAAGGCATGCGTGGTTATAATTCCTCTGTAAGGGATCTCGTGGTTATTTGCGTTATTGGCACCATCACATAAACCTTTCGCTTACAACTTCACAATCTTCAACTCTACACAGGTGAGGAGTAGATAAATGTCTGTGGAGATCAAAAGACTTAATATTTCTGACAGATGTACAGTCCCAGTAATCTTGTGATGATGTTATGTTGACCTCATTACTCTGCCAGCTCGGTGGTTTAAAAACTGTGTAAATCTTGTGAAAATCATAATCAAATCCTCATCGTCATAATTTGACAAAACTTCTCACTTCTCTATAATTCAACAGGGTTTCTTGATCTTTCTTATTCACTGCTTGAGGAACAGCGAGGTCAGTGATTAATCGCTTAAAATTACATCTCAAGATCCGGTATTATATCGATTTTTGTAGTTACAGTGGAGACTAGGAAGTTCAATTTAATTTCGATATTATATCAAAGAAATAAAGTACTAGTTCACGGGGCTTGTGCTTAGATCTGGACTAGCTGGAAAGCAAAAGCAGCATGACAAACGGAAGCACTATAGGACCAAAATTTTCAGTGTATTCACATATTCTGTGGGGTATGTAACTCCATAAGTGCGCAGGAGCACAGTTTTCAAACAAATTCCCGTGTCTGAGGATGGGGGTGAAGGAAGAAAGAAGAAAGGACGTATTCCAGATGAAGGGTCAGAATGTAAGGTTCCTGTTGATAAAATTTACTACAGAGAGAAAAAGGAAGAAGTTATAGGACATTTTTTCACATTTTATAACGGTACCTGTCCACAGTAGCTCCAGATAACTGAATAAGCTCAAGTTTCTATATGGATTGTGAAAATTGGCTTTTACTGAAAGTCCACTCATATCATAGAACACTACAAAATCGAAGACAAAAGGAATACGACTACTCACAAACTCCTTGAATGTGTTAGTGTGGCTAATTTGAATTGCAATTTACAGATAAAGGCTCGTTTGAGAGGAAGGATTCAGGCCATTTTCCCAGCGATGGATGACGGGACTAGCACAAAACGAACAACCGTAGTGCCCCCGGAAGTAAATGAGGATTCCACAGCCATTGATGCGCCGAGAAAAATAAAAGTTAAACCACTGAGTGACAGCAAAAGAATTTAAAAAGTATCGAATAAAAGCTCCATCTAGTTGCCAAAATGTTACGTTGTACAAAAAGCGATAACTGAAATTGTAACTTTGTAGTACAGCATAGTCAAGGTAGACATTGCAAGTTGGGAATCCGGCAACTAATTATACAATACGATATGAAAACATAACTCTTACAGAAAAGCCACGAAAAAAAAGCTAAACAAAACAAAACAATAATAGGGGAAGGAAATAAGTTATTATCTCACTCGAGAAAGTGACAGAGCAGTTGTTATTATCTACTGCACTACATATTTTGCCTCCGCTGCCATGAGCTGACAACGGCAAGTAAATTAATCCTCCACGAAACACTATGTATTTGCATGACGAGCGTTTGGCATCTCAGTTGCAATTTCAATCATACTACCTCAAGGCATTGATATAAAGACCCTGTCAGCTTTCAACTGAAACAAAACACAGAATGGTAGAATTAGAATGTTAGGTATCTTTTCTGTACCGCGTATGTATTGTTTTCTGTTTGATTGAATAGCCTGATACCCAACAGTCACAAGCACAAATTCCAGTTTGATTTGCATGAGAAAACTGAAAATAATTTTGCATCTTAATGAAATGCTATATTATGGAAAACCCTATCTTTTTATAAAGCCTTCGCCACCTGTGTACGGGCATATTGATCTACCCATCATCCACTTGTTTATGTGCGTAATTATGACAATATACCATCGGAGATGTTATAATGAATCTACGAGCTAAAAGTTAAGTTCCTTTAAGGCCATAAGGGGAAAAGATTCGCACTTAAACAGTTTATAGTCTCAATCCGCGCTAAGTGAGATTTGCATCAAACAATTTTACTTCGCTGTGTAGGGCCATAAGTGAAGCAGTCTGAATAAGAGCTCTTCGCGAGGCAAATTTGTCATCGGTTATTTTGGATACTTGAATGTCAAAGAGGAGTCCTTTCATCTGGACGGAGCCTTTCAATGAAATGCTTTTGCATAGACTACTAATCATTTTTGGTAAGTACTTATATGAAACCAATTCGTTGTAGTCAAGCAGTTTAACTAGCTTCCTGTAATGTTTTCTCCCTGATAATACCGCAGAATGTTTTCCGAATTTCTTGGTGTTCATACTAACGCGATTGATTGGCGTGAAGTCTGGTAAGAAAAAAATAAAAAGAAGGAGGTGAAAACAAATCTGAAGAAGAGAGCCTTTAAATTTTTTCAGGTGGTTCCGTTTGTCATCTCATAGCTTTGGTTAAAACGAAATTTAAACAAGATGCAATATAGGTGGACAGAACTATCGAAACCGGAACACAACGTGTAAATTTACCCCCGTTCCTAAAAATTCTTGGCCAAACGTTTTTGATTTACTCTGACTTATTTTTCTTTTCCATGCGGACTTTGAACACCACCGTCTTAAATTAATTTCCTTCCTTACAGTAAACGTAGTCGCTTTTTAGAGCGAGGAGACAATATTAATGCAACGATGATCTCTATTTAAGCAGATGTATTTTCCTGACCGTTCTATCGCCTCAAGCGCTCTCCCACAACAGAAGCCTTTCAAGCAATAATTAGGCCAGAAAACAGAAATTGATCTCAACTGTTTCAAATATATCAGTCACTGTAGTAATAAGTTGCGAGAACTGTGCTCTTTCATGGGCTAGGTTTTTTTTTGTTTGTTTTGTTTTTCTTTTTTTCTGAGCAATAGGGTTCTCAAGAAAAACTTTACAGATGTTCCGGTATAGTTTACATAACAGGAACACTGAATTATCGTGGAAAATATGTATCACAAGTCCTTATAGGTTATCGAGGCCTCTTTAGCTTCTCATACTTTACTGGGTAAAGCTTAGGAAAACACTGTTACATTCTCTTTTAATTATTGAGCGAGAGGCAATCTCTGAAGATTACACCTTGTGTCCCTTGCTAGAGATGCTTTGTTTATTACAGAATATTTTTTCTTTGGCATGAGGATTCAAACTTGGCACAATTTCTTTGACTAGTTAAACTCTCACTTCATGATCGTTTTAAAAGATCCTTGTCGACCACAAACATTTCGCGCTTATTCCGCTACTTTCTATGCTATCTAAATTCGTGAAATTTTCGTTGTGGTCTCTCATCCAACTGCATCAGAGCGATTTGGATATATTAAGGTCTTAAATGGTTGTGGCAGTCTTCTGAAATTATGAGTTGTTTACTCTAGGCAGTTAGTTTAGTGGTTTCTCGCAATTTCCTCGAGGAGTTATTTCGACCTACACCTCGCGCGGGGTGTAGATCCCAAGAAGCAAATGACGAGTTAAAAAGTATTGACGCCCGGCGGGCCTCAAGGACTCCGAGCATTCGCAAGCCATTTTTAACTTCTGCCTTCATCATATATTATAATGAATTTCCTTTGCGATGTGATTCAGTGCGTTGATTTTGAGTGAGGTGCCATTTTCCCATCAGTATGTTCTTACCGGAAGATATTGCGCCATAAATAGCAATAGTTTTTCCGTATGTCATTTTCTTTCTTTTTGATGGCCCTTCTCTACTAGGCCTGACATATATTTCTCTACATCTTCGTCAAGTATCTTCAATTCCCCTCTTTAAGCATATTTTGAAACTCTGCACGTTATTACTACACGCGGAGGGTGTCAGATTTGTTCTTAGGATGCATACGCTTCTCCTTCTACGAATCCTTCCTTTATGGGTGGTAAAGCACGACCCTTGGAAGGTGTTAAGTGTAATACGATCGATTTTACCCGCAGCTGCCCCTATATGGTTGACTAGGAAGTTCCACGTTTCCATTAGGTATCTTTTTCATCTAAGTGCTTGTCTTGCTATTGATTCCCCTAACCCCTCCCCCCCCGCCTTCCCTACCCCTCACCCCTTGTTTCGGAATGGCTGTGAATTGAGGAATCATTTCTTTTTGGTTTTGTTACAGCTGGTATGACCATGCCAACTTCAGCACAAGGTATGTATTGTATTTGCGGGAAAAAAAAGGAATTAACGAAAACTGTAAATGTTCTACGTTGTTCACCTTTCTAACCTCTGCCGTCAAAGATTATTAATTTAATTTTAATTTAACACAATTTATATAGCGCTAACTCCACTAATTGACCAAAGCGCTTTACAATTCACAATATTAAAATAATTAAAAAGATCCCACTGGTAATAAAATATGAATAAATTAAATTTATAAAAATATCACAGTAAATCCTATTCAAAATTATCAAAAAGTTAAACATTATATGCTTTTTTAAACAAAAAGATTAAACAATGTATTATCTGTCGCTCAATAAATAATAGAAAGCGACCCGTTCTAAAAGATTACTGATATGTTATTGCCTGTAATTGTCCAAAAGAGGAGGGAGAGCAAACAAAGCGGCGGTTTTGGCCTAGAAAATTTAGAAGGTAACATCAAAATCAAAGCGGGGCCCATCCTAAACAACTAAAAAAATTCAGAGAAAGAACTAAAGGTTCTAAACATCCTTACGATCTTTTTCTTTTTTTGGCTTTTCTATAAAAACTCTCGATACCAACCACTAACTACTCTGTTCAACGAGTGGAAATGAAAAGTGGAAACTGATTAAAAAAAAAAACAAAAACAAAAACAAACAAACAAAAAATCACAGACACACGCAAACTTAAACAGAAACTGCGATGCGATCCTCACCAGGTTGGAAACGCAACTGGGATTGTATTCGAGCAGATAAAGGATAAAGAATCAAGCGAAAAAGAATATAAGCAAATAATATACAAGTGGAATAAATAAATTTAAAAATATATATTAACGATATGTGTATGAACGAGGAACAGCATTTACAATTATAAATGTCTCTGATTTATGTTCAAGTATCTAACGCAGATGGACATTGCTCCTACCCTAATGATACACTCGCACCCTCAGAGCTGAACTACTCGGACTGTCAGCGACATCTTGATAAAATGCGTCAGTTCTGGCATAGGATGGAATGTGGCAATGAGACACCCACGTCTATTGACAAAACCTGTTGCAGATCTTGGTGTAGGCAGTTGGCCTCTTTGTTCAGTCAGACGTCTTCCTGGAGAGATCGCTGTTTTAAAATGTGGGGGTGCAGAGAAAATGAAAAAGCTCGCATGCCGTTTTCTATTATATTGACAAATACAACCGACTCGTCGTATTTGGGCAGAATCAAAGTGGAACAGTGTCTGACACTGAATTTTCCTGCCATTAAGCTAACACCATCAAGCGAGGTAGGTGTATTTGATTTTCTTGCAACATTTTTAGTCTCTATAGTTATTGGTCCTTTAATTCCACCCTTTAAAGAGTGTACAAACAAATCCCCCCCCCCCCCCCCCCCCCCCCCCCCCCCCCCCCCCCCCCCCACCCGAGTCCGCATAGTTATCGATATAAGTTCGACTTTCGCACGAATCATGCAAAGCTCGAAATGTAATCGCGAGTACGTTCTTTCTTATGCTATTTGCATTCCCTCTGTCATTTCCAATGTTTTAATCGGTAGTTCCATTCTTGATGTATTATGTTCGTAATACTTCACCTAGAAACCCCTGGTAATGAGATGTAAATAGAGGAGTTCGATCAAGAGGTCGGGAAATTAAACTCCACTTAAGTTATCGCTGGCGCTTTGGCTAAAGAAAGCTCAATTTTCCACAGACTGTGAAACCCATGAATTTATTAATTCCTTCTCAGTTCCCAGTCCAGAGAGTTGTTAACAACATCCTAAAAGAAGTGACCAACTCAGACTGTGTAACCCATGAATTTATCAATTCCTTTAAGAGTTAGGCTACTGAAGGTTATGTTTAAACCAACTACTGATACCTTATTAAGACTTTTTTTCGCCTTATCAGTTTTCAAACAAGAAACTTGTTGACACCATTCTAAAAGAAGTGACGAACTCTTCTGGAAATAAAGTAACTCAAGAAGAAATGGAACGCACTTTCCTCACTGTTACTGATTTGGAGGAGTTCATTGGGAATTATGCTCAAAATCACCTTAATCAAACCGTACCTAAGATTGACATCCGTGGTGAACATGCTGGTAAGTAGATCTTAAAAGCTGACTTGGAAGTTTTTATGATTCCTATTTCAGAGTTCAGGATGAATACATACATCATTCGTGGCAGATTTTAGAAAAATTTGCCAACGCTACAACTTTTTCGACGTTCTGGGGGTAAACTTTGCCTGTAGCAACCCTTCATTGTCTCATTTTCGCGACACATGAAATGTCTTCTACCTCTTTTTTGCTGTTTTATAACAGCAAAGTCTTATCGCTCGTCAGTTATCTCCAATTCCAAGAATTCTTTTTATTTTACATATGTTCTTCAATATCGTCATAGTTATGAATAGGTCATAAAAGAGTGAAAAAAAAAAATGAATGGAATGAATAAATAAATTGAGAAAATAAAAATAAGAAATCATTTGAATTCATCGCAGTGATTTGTTTTTTGATTTAAAAATGATCACCGGCACTTTATCTGACAATTGAATGGAGACCGCTCCTTTGACTGATGATCCTTGCAAACTACTCGCATTTACTAAAACTTTTGAGGACGATAACTTGTGACTACTATGAAAGCATCTGCATTTATTTTGGCCCTCACTTAATATAAGTCGCTGTTTTGCAATTAGATATTTTGGTCAGGAAGATTTTCCACGAAAATGAGACGAGAGTAGAACTTGAGGATGATAAAGGAGAAAACTACGTCAGTGTCCTTGTTACAGGCTTGGATAACGGTTAGAAAGCTAATCTTTACTCTTTTTTTTAAGGCATAGAAAATAATATATTTTTGCCGTATTATTCAAATCATTTCAGCGATTATCAGTGTTATTGGTCAAAGGGGGGCTGGGTTTCAATTTATAACGAACATTCAAACTGAATCGCTAATATCTTAATCCAGTTGTTTTGGTTTTCTTTTACTTGTTTATGTGTCCTTTGGTCGAAATATTTTATTGTTATTACAAGTTGGGCATGCCAATGAAACACACTAATAAACTCGCAGGGTTTTTAAACTGTGACAACTTGTCCTTTTTTCTCGATATTCTCGTAGCATTATCAAATTAGGAAATCGTTTCCATCATTACATCTTAGGATCAGTTGTACTTTGTGTCATTTACAAAGATCTCCATGAAGTATTCCTAACAGGCCAGACCGACTCTGCTCCTGTCACTAAAATCAGGTTTGCTAAAACTTAGTATTGCATAGAGTATATTTCATCTCAAATAAATCTGTTTTGGTGCGTTAATAACCTACATAGGGCATTTTAATAAGAATAATTTACTCGACCTAAATTTGAATTTCTCCTTTTTTAACTCGTGAATTGCGCGCATGCGCAAGAGCGAGTTATAGAT